TTGAAAACCTTGTGTGAGTGTGACAAACTTAACCAACGGGTGTAGTGTTAACAAAAATCAAAGGCATCGTAACTCAGCTGAACACAGAAGCTAGACCCTTGTGTGAGTGTGACAAACTTAACCAACGAGTGCAGTGTTAACAAAAATCAAAGGCATCGTAACTCAGCTGAACACAGAAGCTAGACCTTTGCTTAGTGTCTTAACCAACGGGTGCAGTGTTAACAAAAATCAAAGGCATCGTAACTCAGCTGAACACAGAAGCTAGACCCTTGTGTGAGTGTGACAAACTTAACCAACGGGTGCAGTGTTAACAAAAATCAAAGGCATCGTGAACACAGAAGCTAGATCTTTGCTTAGTGTGCGCAAGGAGCCCTCCTCACTTTAAGAAGTTGCTCCCAACTGCAACTGGTGATATTCAAACCCGAATCATTGTTCCCAAACTTCACCCCTGTGACCAACTGAGCAGTCATCCATTCAATCACCAATTTTGGCGCTGCTACATAGTCACTACTACATTTTGAAGAATGAGCCCCCTACCCAACATGTTCATGAAAGGATATGTCACATTGGAAATAGGCAAAGAGCCACAATTGGATTAGGACAATAAGCTGGAAGCAAGCTGGCAGGAGAATTATATATGTTAAAGTTATACATACTAAGATCAGAAAATGCTTTAACTCTATTTTACAACTTATAAATAAAGGGTCACAAAGGTCAAAATAATGATAAACAATTAATATTTTCTAAAACTTAATTTTCAATTCTTGTCTGCTATTTGAAGAATGAGTACAAAAGTGCCCTTCATCCACCCTAATGAAACAAATTTCCCATTTTATGCTATAAATAAAAGATCACAAAAATAAATTTAATAGTACACAATTGTCCCAACTTTTTATTTTTCAATTATAGTGTATTGCATTTTGAAAAAATAGTACAAACAAAAGAGCTTCCATAGTCCCATGTAGCCTAATCAGTGTTTAATAATTGGTTTGGTCAGACAGGAGCTTAATTAGAGAGTGTTGAGATAGTGCTCTATAGTGTTGTGTATATATACTTACATGTTACTAGAAAATGACAGGTGATGAAACGTAACAACAATACTTGTTTTTAGGGATTTGAACTTGAACATAGTTTATTGAGTGCGTTGGAGGTGCATCTTAATTTCAATTATATGCTTTTGGGATATTTGCCTTGCAAGTAGCGCCTCATAGTATGAAACTAGATTAATTTTGTAAATATACTATAGATATAGTGTTGCATGTAAATATGATATATCATATATGTAACACTGGATGTATTATATCACAATTAATAAATGAACTGATTTGCTCACATATAGACTTAGACACATATGTGAACCACATAAATCTTGTGTTATTCTTTCGTTTATATATTTATTCTTGATTTCTTAGTCTGGTTTTACCTAATACATAGTATTTATCCCATGCAAACTCACAAACATTTTCAATTTAATTACTTTTAGGTTGTACTTGTACAAGAGATACTATTTTTTTTTTTTTTTTTTTTTTTTTTGCAAGGATACAAGAGATACTTGTGCAGATCAATATACCTTATATTTTTTCAAAATTAGAAAAAAAAAACATTTTTCATCTCTAAGTTATAAGGTAATTGTAGAATCCACCTTTAATTGTTAGTCGTGCTCACTTTTCGCCCTAAGCTATAATTGGCGTTGCAGTTTTCAGCCTTTTATTAACTTTTCGTCCCTAAGTTATACTAACATTGCAAATTTCGTCCCTAATGTTTTGTTAGTAAAGGGACGAAGGTGCAACACCAATGATAACTTAGGGACGAAAAGTGAGTATAACCAATAATTAGGGACAAATTTTACAATTATCATATAACTTAGCGACGAAATGTGCAATTTTTCTTCAAAAATTATAAATTGGATTTCTCTCTCTCTCTCTCACACACTACTCTTTGAGGTAAGTAAGTGACTATATGTCATTTTTTTTTAGAAGCATTAATTTGATGCTTTTCTAAAATGAGTTTTTGATGTAGACTAAAGTCTTTAAATTAAATAATAAAAATAATTTTATAATATGGTATTTATTAATCTATTCAAAATTTTCCAAAATATCTTTTTTTTTTTTAATATGTTATCTTTCTGAAAATGGAGCATTTGATATCTTAATTACTAGGGCCAGAAAAGCATTAAAAACTATTTTTCCATTTTCATGAAAGGATAGGTTGTAAAAGGATAGCAACTATATTTGGATCTGGACCAAAAGTTGGAACTATTGGAAAAAGGATTTTATATTTAAATTAAATGGATAAATTCTACTCTATATGATTAAATACATTTTCAAATTAAAGTTCTACTAAATATATCCCTATTTTACTTTTTATTCTATTATTATTGATTGATAATTAATTTTAAAAGACAGCTATTTTTTTTCTTCTTGTTTCATTCTTTTTTTTATTCATCAATGCTAATAGTACGATGAAAGTATATATTTTGATGAATTTTACAATATTGTGTGTGCTTTGTAGAGTTGCACATTGTGCTTTGTTAGAGGCATATAGTAGTACATTTTACTCTCCTATGCTCCTCTAGCAAAACATAATGTACAATTTTAGAAAGTATATAATACTGTAAAATTTGTTATGTTTCTGAAAGAGTTAAAATTGGCTAAGATCCCTCTACTATTATAGTTTATCTAATTAAGTTGTTAACTTTTTTTTTTTTTTTTTTTTTTGAAAACTTATGTTTTTAACTTTAAAATTTAAAGAATTACATTCTCAATTACCAAAAAGTTACCAATTATCATCTTCTGTCAATTACATATATTACTTTATTTTTTTTCACCAATGATGTATACTAAATAAACCTTATGAGAAGTAAATTGTACTAGACGGATTCGGTGCAACAGATTAACTAAGAGGGTGTTAAGAAAGAATGAAACTCATGACTTTCAAATATGAGAATTACGATCTTGGTACTCTTTTTGAGCTGCATGTTTTAATAAGTTGACATTTTTTTAGTTTTTATTTGAGCAAATACCAATTTTAGTCTCACGAGTATTAACAAAATGACAGTTTTCGTCTATATTTTATTTTGATCTACGACTGTTGTTTTAGTACTAATTTTCATCCACGACTATTAATTTAGTGCTAAAATTCATTATGTGGTCACCCCTTCGTTTAAGACATACTAAAATATGAAATTATTAAGGGTATTTTAGTTTCTTTCAAATTAAGACCCCTAATTTGAGCCCTAAAATCGATCCCTAATTCGTAGTTCTCCTCCACAAATTAAGGTAGGATGATGAGGAGATCAAACTGCGAATTGAGATCGATCTTAGCACTTAAATCCCTTTATTCATGCTCAAATTGTGATCTTAAGTTGAAAAGGACAAAAATACCTTAAAATTTTAGATTTTGACATATCTTAAACGGATGGGTGACCAGTGTAATAAATTTTGACACTAGAACAATAATTGTGGTTAAAAATGGTCTTGGCGTATGTTAACTTCATCCTGGGCATTGTAGAAGACAATGGAAAAGCGCCTCTTCTGAACTATGATATGGAGTTCAGCTCGGTTGATAGGCTACCCTTGGAGAAACCGGTTAATCCCACTGATGTAAGATTGGGTGTTCTCAAGACGGCAATATTGTCAATGCACAAAAATAGAGATGAATACCCCGGTGATGTGCAGAACTTCTGAGATAATCTTGTATACAGCCGGCCAGATCATTAATGTAGTACTTAAAGAAGCTTTAAGACCTTTCAAGGAGTCCAGCTTCCAATTTGTAATACAGTCTGCGAATTAAATTTTCTGTAGCATAGCTAGAAAAGTTGTTTCTATGTTTAAGAAATGGTTTACCATTTCACCGAACTTTGTTGTAATCGCTTCATGTTATGATTTAATGAAATTAAGTACTTTTTATTCTCAAAAAAAAAAAAAAAAATTGTGGACAAAAAATGATAGAAATTAAACATGTGAATCATAACTGTCATTTTGTTAATATTGGGATCAAAATTAGTGTTTTTATTTTTAATGAGTTTAAGAGAGAGAGAAGAAAATAGTACTGTATGAAGTGACCGGATGGGCAGATGAGCACTTCTGAAATCTAAGACTCTACCACCACCACCTCCTCCTCCGCTCGCTACTGCTGACGACTGTAAAATGGTGGAAAAAGCAACTATGTTTTTGGATTTATTACTCTGACCTCACAGTCTCACCCCATTGGCTCTTTCTTCCCCACTAGATTCAAACCCATCTTCTTCATTCTTCCCCTATTTATTTTTATTCATTTCCATTTCCTAAAACATTTCCCCTTTTTCTTTTTCTTCCTTTCTTGGGTCTCTCCCAAACCCAACCCCCATTATTCTTTGATCCCACGACCTAGATCCACCCTATTTATGGCTTAAAGAAACAAGAAATTGGACAATCTCAGCAAAGTTAGTCAGATTATCGACTTGATAATCACAACGTAACAATTTATATTCTCATGTAGAAGGAGTCTATTGACCTTCTTGGTGCGAGACAGTCATCTATGAACAACCTAGACTGATGTTGTCATTATCTAGCAGAATTTATGACGTGCACATTATTGGGTAGCGACTGAATGTTAGTAAAAAAACACTGTATCATGAGGTGCGATTCTGGTTGAATCAAGATTAATCTCATAGCGGTGGAAATATCAGATGTTATATGTAAAAGAAAATATAATGATACTTCATAACTCTTATGACTATTCATTAAATAAGTGATTTGGTTAGGAGTTAATTAAATAAAAGCTGGATTAATTAATGAATGCAAATTTTAGTGAAAGTTTTAAAAATGTAATCCATATCTGGTTGGTTGGAAGTTTATGATACTTTGTTTGGGTTTAAGGCTTTAATTAAGTAATGTGTGGTTAGTAATAATAATAGTTTAAGAAGACAAGTGCTTTGGAAAGATACTTGTTAGTTGTATGCATATATAGTTATTGGATAATAATAAACTGTATACAGAAAATGTTATATATATACACACACAGATCCCTATGGAATGAAGGGGGTTGCTCGCTGAAACTCATTCTCTTTGTTTAGTTTAAAGCGACCAGTTTTATTATTTTAGAGAGAGAGATAGAGAGAGAGAGAAGATAGTTTGTGGAGGGGCTTTCACAGATAGAAGGGAAATGGGAGAGCAGCTTCTCATCATCATCTTCTTCTGCAGCTAGACTACAAAAATCTTTGGTGAGTTCTGAGATAAAATGATGAAGAAGGAGATGATGATTTCTTTCTGTGTGCATATTTTCTGTGTTGAAGTGAAATGATTGCTGTATTTTTCGACCCAATGATTGAGTTTCTTCAATCCCAGGAAACACTTCTTGGAGCCCAAGGAAAGTAGGAGAGAGACAAAACTCAAAAGATTCAAACTTGAGAAGCTATGAATGATAAGAACAGTAATGGTAATAATAATAATGAGAACAATGGTGGTGGCAATAATAGTTGGCTGGGATTTTCTCTCTCACCCCATATGAAAATGGAGGTTTCTTCTCCTTCTTCAACAACAGCAGCCATGGCTGCAGCTTCAAGCTTCCACCTTTCTCCCTCTCTGTGCTATGGGGTTGGAGAAGCCTCTGCCTTTCATTTCCCCCTTCCTGTTATGCCTCTCAAGTCAGATGGTTCTCTTTGTATTATGCAGCCCCTCTCAAGATCCCACCCAAATGGTAAGTAAGCTTCAATTAATTTCCCTCTTTTTTGACTTGTTTTCCTTTTGGGGTTGAAAAAAATTGAATCTTGAATTTGATTTCTTTATTTTTTTTTGGGGTAAAGGTATGGTGCCAAATGGCAGTCCAAAGTTGGAGGACTTTCTGGGAGGTGCAACAATGGGGGACAATCAGTTTGGAAGCCATGAGAGGGAAGCCATGGCTCTAAGCTTAGACAGTATTTACTATCATAACCCTGACCCACAAGAAGCTGCAAGGCATAGGGCTTTTGACTTTCTTCAAGAACCCCAAACCCACCATTCTTACTTCTCCACCTTACAATGCCATGATCTTTACCAAGAACCACTTGATGGTGAGCCCAAATCAACCCACCACCTTGCTGAGTGTGTTGAGAATGAACTGAAAAACTGGGTTTCTGTGGGGCAGTTTGGTGGTGGTCAACAGCCCCTTGACCACCACCCCACCACCACCACCATGGTGGCTGAGGGTGGTGGTGGTGGGGGGATGGGTTGCAATGAGTTGCAGTCACTGAGCTTATCCATGAGCCCTGGCTCCCAGTCCAGCTGTGTAACTGCTGCAAGACAGATTTCCCCTACTGAGCTTGAATGTGTAGCCATGGAGTCCAAGAAAAGGGCCTCCATGAAAGTGGCTCCAAAACAGCCTGTCCACAGAAAATCCATAGACACTTTTGGTCAAAGAACATCCCAGTACAGAGGGGTAACCAGGTCAGCTCCTTTGAGCCTCAATCCCTGCTGCTTTTTTGTGTTTTTAAGGTAATTTATTATAATGATGTTTTTGACCCTTTAATTATATATATCATGTGCACATGATTATTGTACCAGACATAGGTGGACTGGTAGGTATGAAGCACACTTGTGGGACAACAGTTGCAAGAAGGAGGGGCAGACTAGAAAAGGAAGGCAAGGTTAGTCTTCAAACCAAAAAAAAAAAAAAACATTATAAGAAATTACAGCCATTTTTGTACTCTTATTTGTTTGGATGCATTTGTTTCTGACTTCCAATTTGGCTCATACTATGCTTGGCCTGACCTTAAATCTGCACTTTTTTTGGCATGTTTACTCTTGTTGGGGAAATCCCATTCAATCCCACTTGTGCTTATACAGTGTATTTGGGTAAGATTTCTTGTTTTCTTATTATCTGTTTTGGAAGAAGTGAATTAATGTTGAAATTGAAAAATGATTAGCTCTGATGATCTTTAGGAGGTTATGATATGGAGGAGAAAGCTGCTAGAGCTTATGATCTTGCTGCACTTAAGTATTGGGGTCCCTCTACCCACATTAACTTCCCGGTATGATCTGATTTATTTCAATGGATATAATATAAACTTGGTTTAAAGATCTGCATTGGGTTTTTGAGCTAACGAAATCTTGTCTCTGGCAGCTGGAGAACTACCAGAAGGAACTCGAGGAGATGAAGAACATGACTCGCCAGGAATACGTTGCACACTTAAGAAGGTACTTACTCCGTAGTTATGTTGTTAAGGATAGTGTTTGATCGTGTTCCTCGTGTTTAATGATGTTGTTTCGTGTTTCCAGGAAAAGCAGTGGATTCTCCCGGGGTGCTTCGATATACCGCGGGGTGACAAGGTTTTGTGTCTGTCTTTTGTACAAGATTATATTATCTCCTTGAATTATCGGTTTTTGTTGTTCTGAGAGTCTCGGATTCTTTTCGTGTTTAACAGGCATCATCAACACGGTCGCTGGCAGGCCCGAATAGGAAGAGTTGCAGGAAACAAAGACCTTTATCTCGGGACTTTCAGTAAGTCTCTGCCATTTTTTCTTGCTCTTATTATTGCCCGGGAATCTATGGATTTGTTGATTGTTTATGCTTAAAATATATGTGAATTTGGCAGGCACTCAGGAAGAAGCTGCAGAAGCTTATGATATTGCTGCAATCAAGTTCAGGGGTGTGAATGCTGTGACAAACTTTGACATATCCCGCTACGATGTGGACAAGATCATAGCGAGCAATACCCTACCAACGGGGGAAGTAGCGAGGCGAAACAAGGAGATCCGAGAGCCCGTCGTGGAGGCTGCTGCTGCGATTGAGTACAACATGGCACCCGAGGGGGAGTGTGTTCAAGACGGGAGGACCACCGCGAATAATGCATCAGACTGGAACATGATGCTGTACACCTCGCCCGGGCAGCAGCAAAACGTGTCGAGCATCGGGGGGTATCAGAAGCAGCAGCCGGGGTTTTCACTGCACGATGTGTTTGGGAACGGGAGCCAGGGAGTCCTGCAGCAGGACGAGTCGAACAAGATGGTGGATAGCCACATTTCGAACCCCTCGTCTTTGGTGACCAGCCTGGGGAGCTCGAGGGAAGGCAGCCCCGACAAGACAGGTGCCGCCTCGATGGTCTTCACCGCAAAGCCTCCAGCAACTAAGTTCTTGATTCCAGCAGGCAATGTGGCTTCCTCCATGCCTCATCTCCCAGTCTATGCTGGCTGGAATGACACCTGAGCTGAGCTCTCTCTTCTGCTCTCATGTGAGACTGTGTTTTTGCATGGGAGATGGAAAGTGGCAATTATTGGTGGTGGCAAAAGGTGGAGAAGAGAAAGGGTGATGTAGGACTTTAGTTAGTTTTTTAAAAGGTGTTAGTGGGGGGGTGATAGTGGGGGGGAATTAATGGAAAGACATTTGGGGTCCCAATTATCTGTCTGTAACCTAGTGATGTTGGAAACACTTTCAAGAAGGCTAACCCTTTTCCTATCTTCATTTTAGTTTTGGTCTCTGCAAAAAATGGAGGGAATTGGGTTTCTCTACAACAAAAATTTAATGCTTAAAACTATCAATCATCACTCACGAAAGCCCCTCACGCCCCAGACCGACAGAATAGTGGATGACTAAATCACACTGACTCAATGAGCTATCAAGACTTGATCTTTTGTCCTAGTTCATAATTTACTATTCAAAAATCAACTGAGCTGTCTGTGCGGGTAAATTGCCATTTTTCTTCAAAAAGAGGTGTGGATGTATTGGTAGTGGAGTGTTGTTGAGTGATTGAACATTTTGCCTTTTTCTTTTCTTCTCTTTTGAGTTCTGCAAAGTACAAAAATCAGCACAATGGCTTCTCAATAATGCAAAAACCCAACAAAAAAAAAAGGAGGTTAATACTTTGACCAAATCATGGGAATGATCTCCAGCTCTCTCCTATCTGCTGCCCAACACCATCATTGCCATTCTCCTTTTCATTCCATTGAGCTTTCCCTAAAGCCAACATTCCCTCTCAATGATATCTATCTATACATATATATTATTGAAGCAATGAAGATCCAAAATAAATTTTTTAGGATTATACAATTACAATTTGAGGTTGTATAAATAATTTGAGTTTAATACACTACTCACTTTGTATGATATGAGATTCAATTCGCTATTTAAATGGGGCAACTCTGGTCAAGTTGGTAGAATAATTGGCTTGATAATCACAAGATTTCAAATTTGACTCCCCGTGGGAGCTGTATTGGCTTTCGTAGCTTGAGCCGACTGATTTAACTCTTTATCTTCTTATAATCATTTACCTGCTAAGGTCACGAAGACTTCATCCAAAGCATACCGTCAAATAGCAGTTGCGAGCGTTGATATGAAAGAAATACACTTTTTAGTAAGGGAAATGCAAATTTGAACACGATACACTTTTGGTTAGGGAAATGCAATGCAACTTGAACACGTCCACTCTCCTTATCAAGGACCAAGTTATTATCAATTTAAACGAATGCTTAACATCACCATAAAAGTTAATTCAAGAGTAATAATTGAGTGATCTGAAATCATACCAGCATGCGTGTCAACAGACGTATGCAAGAAATTAACATATATAATTATAATTGTGATACAAATCAATACAATGTGGATCAACACTTCGATATTTATGAGGGGAGACTGTTGCATGAGAGGTGTAGTGGGATTCTTATAGCTAGGGTTTAATGGATATGCAGGGGCGGAGTCAGGGTGGGGGCAGTGGGGGCAGCTGCCCCCACTCATATATATATATATATATATATATATATATATATATATATATTACATGTATTAGATATAAATATAAGAAAACAACTAAAAATAACAATTGGAGTGTTAGACGAGTTGGCAGATGTGTGTTTGGCCTAGTAAAAGGTCGTGGTTGTTTATTGTTAACAATTGCTCTAATTGCTGTGAATTACTAATATGTTAATTATCCCTAGTTAATTACCAATTTGTCGTATGGTTGTATGTTGAAAAATATATTTTTGATCAAGTTTCAAATGAAGCAGTTCTACACCGATTTCAAAATACGAGAGAGCATATAGGAGTATTATCCCGTAGTTGATCATAAACCTTGTATTGTAATTTCTAACAATTTTATTGTATTTAAACATTTTTTAATTTATTTTCTCTTTGCTTCTTCGCCCCCACTGACGAAAAATCCTGGCTCCGCCAGTGTGGATATGATCATAATGAGTAGTAATTATATTCTACAAGTTTGTCTTCACCTTTACAAATATTGACAGAAATGCTCTTCAATTCCACTTTGCTTTTGTGACGTTTTGTACCTAAAAGCACTTCCATGTCTTAATGTGACACTTATTACCTACTATACTATATATATAAACTAATAATAACCAACTTACAACCTTGCACGTGTATTCAACTCTACCACAAATCAAATAATTAATCTTCGGAAAGCGTCAAATTTATCCCCTAATTCCAACAAAGGATATAATTACATTTTTTTTAAATGCTCCAGTAAGGTTACTTAAATCAGTAAAATAATGTAATTAGATCTTATTGTTACCTATATTTAACAGATTATCGCTGATATGGTGCTGAAAAGGCTAGCATATAGTGTTTTAATACTTACGTGAATATTTATTTATTATATAATTTTATTTTTTAAAAATAGTACAATTTTGTTTGATATATATAATAGGACATAATTGCACTAATTTACGGATATAGAGAACCTTATTTGGAGTTTTTAAAACATGTAATTACATTATTTGTTGAAATTAGGAGATCAATTTAACACTTCTTTAAATAAATAAATCGTCAAATATTTACCATTTTTTAAATTAAAAAAAAATGGTTTGATTGGGACGATGGTGGAATCTCCATTAACAAAAAGACAATCCAGAAAAGCAGGGGGAGAACTGTACTGATACAGTAAAATTTTCACCATACATTTCGTTGTAACACATCACTTAAAGAGAATATATATTATCCACAGTGCAAAAGATTATGCTAACAAACAAAATAAATAGTGTAGGTTCGAATTAACTCTTCCAAATGAGAGGTCATGTGTTCGAGTCCTAGTGGGGGCGGTATTGACTTTTTTTACTTCAGTAGTTATGAACATATACTACATTGTAACAGAGTCAGTAGTACCTAAAAATTAGAAAATTGACGTAACACAACCTTAACTTCTACGTATTTTTCTTTTCAATTTTTTTTTTTTTTTTGCCCATAGAATTGTAGATGAGATGATGCACATCCTAGTTAACTGGTCGACGAAACATGTGATTAGATAAAAAATAATAAAAATTTTCCCTATCTTCACTCTTATTCAATCTCCGTATAATGTCCTCCTTCAAAATTTTAGACTACGATCTTTCATGTAGAGTTTTAATAAAAGCACACTTATTTCTTCGTAGACTATAAATTCAAGAAAAATATAATCCTTTATAGTGTTGACACAAATAATGGCTGAAATTATTGGCACAATAATATTAAATAAAGATTATAATATTTAAAAAAAAAAATTCTGCATGGAGGTATTACGTATGAGATGGACCATAGAGAAAGACAAAGTGGTCACCTTGGGCGATATTATATTGATCGCATAATCATGATGTTATTGTTCCATCCTTATCATGTCGTACATTTGTTGGCCATAATTGCACATACTTTTTGTTTATAATGTTTGACACTACAATAATTAATTACTCTCTTCCATTCCATTTTTAAAAAAATAATAATTTTAATTTCCTCCCCTTTTTTTTGAAAGCTACTGACTATATTACAATCTATTACATTGTAATATGTACAGGCTCAACCTCATGACCTCACATATGGGAGAATCACTACATGCCATCTGAGCACAAGGTGCTTGACAATTTTCTACATTTTTTTTTTTTGAATGCTACAATTTTCTACATTTTATTTACTACAAAACTTAATTAATTAAATAGTTAAAATTACTGTACATTTTTTTTAGAAGTGTGAATAAGATGATATAGGTAAATTCTAACTTAAAACTTGTGAGGGCGTATTTTGTTACCCTTGAGGTCTTATTTGGTAAGAAAATATCGTCTTATTTCACTGGCTTAGGAAACCTATGGTCAAGCAAAAAAAAAAGTAATTTTCTCATACTTTTAAAATTTAAATATATAATAAATAAGATAATTATTTATCGAGTAAATTTCAATTTTTGTCCACTGACTATTGAACTTGTGTTAATTGCAACACTTGACTTTCAAAAATGTGAACTTAGTACCTTGACTATGCAATTCTTATTAATTTTGGTCACGCCAGCCAAATGTGACCGGAAAATCTTAAGTCAACAATTAATCTTAAATGGAAGGAACAAAGTCGTCATTTCATGTTATGTCCGGTCACATTTTACCTTGGTTTCCTTTCTTCTCCGACGAGCTACATGTTTCCGGCCAAAGAAAGGAACCCATCCCTTCCGGGGGTTTTCAATCCCTTTTGGAATTACTCTATCGAATTGCAGTAAGAATTGAAACAAGCTGAACTGATAAAATAAAAATGAACCTTCCAGTAAGAAATGCAGTGCATCATCGAGAAATACAAGAAAATGGAGGCTCAGATCTAGGTCATGATCATTCGCTATGCAATGCCTGCGCCCTGCGAGATTCGGAGCCGCAAAAGGAGAAGAACGCTTATGGGTCTCAACAAAGGTGACAAGAAATCAAAGATATTGGGCACCGGCAGCTCGAGAGACAGTGACAGTAGCAGCGGCGAGGGAGTGCTGGAATTTTGGTCAACAATCGCTTTCCCAAATCAGACTGAACACGAAAAGATGAATTTACCCCTTCCAATTCAGTTCAATTGTTGATTTAAGATTTTTCGATCACATTTGGTCGGTAATTTGATCGGCGTGACCAAAATTGATAAGAATTGCATAGTCAAGGTACTAAAGTAACATTTTTTAAAGTCAAGTGTTGCAATTAAAACAAATTCAATAGTCAATGGACCAAAATTGAAATTTACTCAAAGTAGACAAACAAACATATAGTAATAGGTATCAAAACTCATAATATAAGATGTAAAAGTCCCAACCAAACACACCCTAAGTTACCCGAAAAATTGTCGGTCGAATTTGCTGCTAGGGATCTAGTATGTTTATCTAAATTTTGATAACAATATGACAATTCATCATGGAGTCATAAAAGTATTATATCATGGAGGCATAAAAGTATTATAATTTTTTGTGGAGGCATCTTCATTATGTCATTAACTACAACAAGGCTAAATAATTTAAGGGACAAATTTAATGTTCTTTTTAGAGAATCTTAAGCTTGAATTCATTTTTCCTCCCCTATACTATAACGAATATTACTATTTATCATTCACATGTATAATTGATTAGGTCATTGGGTAAGAGAGAGTGGTATAAAAGAATTCACTCATATATTAGTGGGAAAAAATGGAAAGCAAATAGGGATACTTCTAATCTATGGATACTAGCTTAGCTAAAAGGTAAAAATAATGCTGATTTGATATTTGATTTTTAGTCAAAATTAATTATTACTCTTTGTGGGTTGTAGACAGCTTGTTCTCATACAA